CGGTTGGGCTGCAGGGGGGCAGGAGAGGCGGGAAGCAGCAGGAAGCGGGGCAGCTTGCGCGGTGTCGTGTCCCGGCCGAGCCGCGAGACCCGGAGCAAGTTGCCTGCAAGCTTCTCCTGGCTCTTAGCCCTCCCCTTTCATGCCCTGGCAGGGCTGACAGGTGCCCCGTGCGCATGGGCACGTCAGCCCTGAGGAGGAGGCTGGGTGCCGTCCCCAGGCACGGGTTCCCACAGTAGAGGGAGGGAGGGTGGTCCAGACTGCGGGGACGAGGGGCTGTCGGGCCGGCAGCAGCTTCGTGCCTCGTTAACCACCACAGATGGCTGCGGGTGAGTGGCAGAGAGCATCTGGCCAGTCGTCCTCAAGCCGAGGGCGGGCGCTTGCCCGATCATGTCACATTTTAATTATTGAAGGGGTCCAGGGCAGTTCTCCTGCCCAGATGATGTCTCCTGGCTCCAGAGTGGTTTAGGCTGCCTGAAGTTCTACTACAGGGATTATTGCCTGTTGGTCCAGGTGTGTGTGACTTGAGGGGGGTGGTCTGGAGGCCAAGTGAGGGAGGGGTCCTGTTGCAAACCTGGGGCTGGGGAGGGGCTGAGCTGGGTGCCCTCCGCTCTGGGTGACCTCGGGCTGTGCCCCGCGGCAGTGCAGTCGTCACCCGGCCCCTCCGTCAGGGCCACTTCCAGGTACTGACCACCTCCTCTGGCCAGCATGAGGCGGCGGGCCTGCCTGGGCACCGCACACCAGTCCTGAGGGGCAGGCCTCAGTTGCCTCATTTTACAGATGAGGAAACGGAGGCTTAGCATTAGCTAACTTGCCCAGGGTCACTTGGCCGGGCGACGGCCTTGGAGTAGGAAGTCAGGTCAGGAAGACCCGGCGGGGACAGCCAACACCTCCACCTGCCTTTCTCGTGGAGGCTGACAGCTCCCGGCTGCTAGAGCTCGTGCTGGAGTTTCCTCCCTGGCTCAGTGGCTCCCACGGGGGCCTGGCCCGAGGACCATCGATACAGTTGGCACCACCCCTTGTTCAAAAAGCAGCACAATGGTGATGGCAGAGCAGCGAACCGAGCGTGGGCCCCGCGTGCCTGCACAGGAGGCACCTGGCGGGCGGGCCAGCGCCTGGCTTTCTGCTCCCGCCCCGTGCCCTCCGCCTCCCAGCCCTGAAGGCTGCGTGCGCCGTGCTCTCTCCGGGGGCGCAGACTTGGCTTCAGAATTCTTTTAGGCTCGCTCCTGCTTTGCCGGGGTTCCTCTCCCCTCCCCCACGTTAGGAGTTTCGGTGCTGGTCCTGCCGCGCGGTCCGCAGTGGCTCCGCGGGTCCCCAGAAATGCCCGCGCTCGCTGCCCCTCGGCGTGTCGCTCAGCTCGGGCAGGGCGACTGCAGTGCGTGCAGTTTGGCCCGGGCCTGGGCGGGCCTGGGGCCCCGGCCGGCCGTGGGTCAGGCGCAGGGCTTGGCCTCCACAGAGGGGACGTGGGTGGGCCTGGTGGCGGGGGGGGTGGTGGTGGTGGTGGTGGGGTGGTGTGGGGTGACCGTCTCCCGGGCATCGGCCGCCAGCACCTCTCCCTCCCGACTCCTCCTCTGGCCCCTCCCGGAGCCGCCTGGCTCGAGGTGAGGGGCACGGGGGCTGTCACTGCAGCCGTGGGACCGCAGGCCGGGCGCTCACTCTTCCTTTAAAAGCCCCGACAGGGAGACAGGAACACTGCCCGTGCGCTGCTCTCATTCAGACCGGGGCAGCCTGGATAACTAAGTCGGAGTCCGACCACAGAGAGGCGTCTCGGGGCTGGGGCTGGGCTCGCGTCCCTGCCCTGCTCTGCCTCCGCCTCTGCTGGGCCTGAGCTCCCCGCCCGCCCCGCCAGGCCCTGCCCTTACCTCTGTCGGCGGGTCTGGGGCGGCAGGTGGGCTGCAGCCTGTGGGTGGGTGGTGGGCCCCGCGCAGCTGTGGTGGAGGCCGGCTGGCTATTTAAGGAGGGGAGGCGAGGCTGCAGCCCCTCGGGCCCTGAAAGGCCGCTTCATTCCTGAGGGGTCCCCTGTGTGGTGGGCCACTCCTCTGGCTGCCTCTGCTGCCGCTGGGCCGTGAATATTCCAGTGTGTCCCAGCCGTCCCCCCACCCCCCGCCCCCAGCTGGGCCACTGAGCGGCACAGAGGCCGAGTGTGCGACTGTCTTCGAAGCCGCAGAGTGGGCGCCGGCCGGGTGGGAGGCCTGGCTGGGACCGACAGACACAACAGGACGTTTCAGATCAGAGTAATTTCCTGGGAGGCGGGGAGGGGGCCAGGGAGGGGCTGGCCGCCATGGCAACGGGCCTGGGCGCCCAAGCCCGCACTGGCCATCGGCAGAGGGGGGTCTTGTGAATGGGGAGGGTGGGAGGCCAAGGAGTCTTGTTCGGTCCAATGAGAGGGGACTCTTTCAGGACACTTGCTTAGGGTCCTTGTGTCCTGCCCCGTATAATGGGGCCCCGTTTGGGTGTGCGGAATAAATCGCGGCCTTTATCTCGAGCGGGGCGCAGCTGCAGGCTGCCTCATAATGGGGCGCTGTCTGTGCCTGTGGGGACCCGGAGGCCTGGCCCTCGCCTGTGTGGGCTCCTCCTCTGGACGGGAAGCCTGGGAAGAGGGTCGCTGCGGCCCGCCGCCCACCTGCCCCACAGCTCCTCCTGGGAGTCTGGGAGTCTGTTGACAGTGGCTGCTCCTGTGACGGCTGCAGCAGTGCTTGGTTCTCCCCGTCTTTCCCAAAGTGATGCATCCGGTAACACAGGGAGCCGAATCACCATTCCTAATTTCAAAAGACTTCAGAAAACTTTTTAGTTACAACGTTGAAAGGTGTACACAGCCATCCCTGGGAAGTGCCTGCCACAAGTACTGTCTGAAATTCTTTCGCACAAACCCGTGCACTTGGGATCACTGCCCATTTTACAGACGGGGAAACTGGGACTCAGAGAGGTGAGGTAACTGGCCAACGACAAACCAGTGGGGTGGCCGAGCCCACATTTGGACTCAAGCGTGTGTCACTCTAAAACTCAGGCTGTATGCGTGTGTGTTTTGTTCTCTTCTGTTGCAGCTCAGTGGTAAAATTCTTAGGTTCCATCTTCATTCTGCCTGGGAAAAAATTCTGCAGGTTGCCTTTAGATCTGGCGCTGGGATCAGGTCTGTTGAAAAGACGTTTCCCGTCTGGGGTTCCGTCAAGAGAGTGGGACTGCTCAGTTCTGTCATGCCTGGGAGCCGGTGGGGTGTGCGGCCCCCCTCCCCGCTGTGGCCCGGGGTGGCTGTCTGGGAGAACTGGCTCACGGTGACTTGAAATGTGGGAGTCTGGCTGGCTTCTGTCGGGTGACTGATGGCAGTGGTTTTAAGGGCACTGACCGTTGCAACAGAATTTTGAGGAGTTGCGCTAATTTCCATATCTTTGAAACAAAAACCGTTCCGTATGGGTTGCATGTTGTCCTACTGCTAAAGACGAGTCACCAGGATTGGAGTGGGGTTGTAGGGAATAAACGCCCTGTCTGTGGCAGAGACGCAGCAGGCGGCAGGCGTGGGAGTGGCCCCGCCGTGGCAGGAGGCCTGGGATGGGGCTGGGGCACGGGGTGTCTGGGGGAGAGTGGGGCGGGGAGAGCCCGCTGGGCTTCAGGGATCTGGGGACGGAAGGGAGATGGGGACTGTAGCCACAGGCCATGTCTGTGGCCCCTGGGCCGGTAGAGTGAGCTGGGGGGCCCCAGGCCAGGAGACGACCTTCCAGTCTCGGTGGCCACGTCATCGTGGGAGATGACGCCCGCCGTCCTTCCCTTCTTGTCTTTTACGATCATTCACCCACTTACGCATCAGAAGACCTGTCCTGAGCCGCTGCCCTGTGTGGGGCACACGGGGTCCGTAAGAGCACAGCTGGGAGCTGGTCGGCACCTTAGCAGGTGGCTGCTGGGCACTCCCTTGGGCCCCTTGCCCTTCACCCCGGGGAGCTAGGACACACTCAGGGCAAGCACAGGGCAGTCCAGACCCAAACGCGGTAGGAGGCACTGCGGTCAAGGCCATGGAGTTGGCTGCCCTGGCACCTAGGGTCGGCCCACCACACCTGCCTGGGGGCTCCTGAGTCTGAGAGTTACCCTCTGAAGCGGACTCCCTGGCCCGCCTCTAGAGGCCCGCGCCGGTATCGGGTGGCTGGGAGGCTGGTGAGAGCGGGCTGGGGACCCGGAACGGGAGGGAAGGAGGGCCCGAATGCTGAGAGCACTTGCAGACGGGGTGGCAGGTGGGGGGTGGGGGCAGTGCACTGGGGCCTTCGTGCAGCTTCGCCCGGGGACCCTGAATCTAAATTCCTGCCGCCTTTGAGGCCCCAGGAAACAGAAACCATGTTGATTTATCTCTCTCGGTAGAGACCGCAGCTGTGGCCCAGTGGAGGGAGTAACATCAGAAATTACTCTGAGGTCTTTACAAAAAAGACTTTGTAATGACAGTTCCTGGGTCTGGGGGCCTCCATCTGACACAGCTGCACTTGTCTTTGGAGACAGAGAGAGCCTGTAGACGTCCGGGTTCCCCTTTGTCCGGCCGACCCCTGAGGAAGCAGGCGTGCAGGCCCAACGGGCCTGGCACTCCTTGGCCCCTGGGCTGGGCACGAAAGTCACTATACGGTCACTCGTGTGTGTTAAGAGACATTTGAAAAATAAAATGAATTTTTCAGCAAATGCCCATGAACTGTCTGCTCTCGTCCACACACGATGTCCTAGGCTCAGAAAAAGCGTAAAGAAGAAAAACGCCACATTTGCCGTACTGTCCAAACACGGCGTGCTGCTGTGTTTCCTCCTGGTCTTTGCCCCGTACAGAAGCTCCTTTTAGAGGGTGCACCGTGGCCTTCCCGGCCGCAGGACTGTTGGCTTGCTTTTCTGGACCACCGAGCTGAGCCCCCCGACGCTTCCTGGCAGGCGTTCGTTCAAGCTGCGGGCGGGGGCCGGGGGCGTCTTCTCCAGGGAGGTGGCCCAGGCTGCCCGGGCAGGAAGAGTGGCTCTGCCCCTGACCCCCACCTCACTTCTCACAGGCACCTGTGCCGACCCTGCCACAACCGTGAGAAGGCCAAGGGCCTGGGCAAGTACATCTGTCAGCGCTGCCACCTGGTCATCGACGAGCAGCCCCTCATGTTCAAGAATGATGCCTACCACCCAGACCACTTCAGCTGCACCCACTGCGGGTAGGTGCACAGCCGGGCCCGGCTGGCCGGGAAGGGGGAGAGCCGGGTGGAGGTGGGCCGGCCGCCCGGGGGCAGTGATGGGGCGGGAGGGGAACACCAGGGGGGCAGAGAGGGGCGTCCGGAGAGTGGGGTGCAGGGGCAGGTAGAATGGGTCCAGAAGGGCACTGCTGCAGGAAACGCCTCTCAGGCGAGGCTGACAGGAGGACTCATGGGTGAGGGGGGGCTGCCCCCCAGCCCCGCCGCCGGCGAAGCCGAGGGGAGGGAATCCCAGGTACGGAGGATGAGCGTGAGGTGGAGCGGGTGAGGGAGGAAGGAGAGGCCACGGAGCCATGCCCTCGTGCTGGTCCCAGACGCCCAGCCTGGTCTGGAGGGCGGGGGCCCGGGGAACAGATCTGCGCCGCCTTCTGCAAGGGCCGGGCGGGAATCCTGTGCCCTGGGGCCCGTCTGGGGCACAGGAAGTCTCCAAAGAGAGCAGAGATGAAAGCCACGCCTGCCCCGGGCGGGTGCTCTGCTGGGACCGAGCTGGTGGGGGGTGGAGGTGGCGGTGTGTCTCAGGAAGCTGCTTCCCTGGCGCTGGAGGGGCTGGGGTGACCCTCCCAGCACGACAGGCCACGGAGGGGCAGGGTGGTCACCTGGGGTCTTCACGCTGTCTTCCAGGAAGGAGCTGACTGCAGAGGCCCGCGAGCTGAAGGGCGAGCTCTACTGCCTGCCCTGCCATGACAAGATGGGTGTCCCCATCTGTGGGGCCTGCCGCCGGCCCATCGAGGGCCGGGTGGTCAACGCGCTGGGCAAGCAGTGGCACGTGGAGGTGAGCGAGGCCAGCCCGGACAGCAGGTGGGCGCCCTGGCTCCCGTCCCCAGCCAGCCTGGCCCCGAAGCCCCTCCACACGCCCTCCAGCCCCCAGGCCATGTGGCCGGCTCCCAGTGGGGACCTTCCTCGTAGGTGCTATCCCTCCTCACCCCTGGTCTGGGACAGGTCTGTCCACGGGACCCAGCAGACTTGAGCCCACAGGCCATGGCTGGGCAGGCACACCCCCTCCCTCCCTCCCCATCCTGGCCTTCTAGAGGATTCCAAAATCATGAGAACACCTTGGGGACACTGGTCCGGGGTGCCCTGTGGGATTGCGGTTGGCGGAAGTGGCTGCGTGTCTGGCCCACCTGCAGGTGAGGTGCTCAGGTGTGTCTGACTGGCTGTCCGGGAACACTCACCCCTGCGCTGGGGGCTCTGATGGCCTTAGGGACACCACCTGGCAGGGAGGCGTGCAAGCCTGTGACTGGGCCAGCTCTGTGTCCCACAGTCTCTGCCCTGGGCGGCCTCTTGGCGAGGGTCCTGGCACGGCCCCCAGCCCCCCGGGGGAGGGTGAATCCTCACACGCCACGGCCTTCCGCGGGCGGAAGGTGTGCCCGGTGACTCTGGGCCTGTAGAGGTGTGCACCAGAAGCAGACGGTGCAACCCACCACGGCCCGGGCACCTCGCCGGCCCCGACACGGGGGCCGAGGGTGCCCCGTGGGCCCGGGGAGGATGCAGCGCCACCAGGCATCAGGGAAAGAGTGGGGTCTGCTGACCGTGAGCAGTCCGTGGAGGTGTCAGCCCAGCGAGGCCCCCCACCCACCAGCCTCCGCTTCCTGGCTGTGTGCTGGGAGGTCGCTCCAGGCCTGACGCTGCCCTCCCTGCACCCCCCCGCCACCCCAGCACTTTGTCTGCGCCAAGTGTGAGAAGCCGTTCCTGGGGCACCGGCACTATGAGAAGAAGGGCCTGGCCTACTGTGAGACCCACTACAACCAGGTAGGGCCCGGGACAGGGGAGGCGGGAGCTGTGGGGAGCCGGCAGGGCGCGGGCTGGGAAGGCGGCTGTGTCCGTGGCAGGAGAGGACACGGGGCGGCCCCCGGGGCCCCGCCGCGGGTGCTGAGGCCAGGCCTGTGAGCTCAGGGTCTCGGGACCGGGGCAGCCCTCTGGGCCTCAGGGTCCCCATTTGAGAAACGTGCCTTGTGGCCCAGGCCTGCCCCGGGCACTGAATGAGATGGCAGTGTTAAGTCCTGGGCTCTTGGGGTGACATATACTACCATCTCCTCCCCCCTGCCAGGCTTGGCGAAGCTGCCCAGCCTTTCTGGCACAGAGGACAGGGTTACTGCCTTGCCCACACTTCTCAGGACACGGGCGGGAGCAAAGGGGTCTTAGGGGGAGCAATGCCTCCACATGCTGTCTTTCCCAGGGGGTAGTTCTGATAGACCCTCAGGCCTGAGGCTGTGCCCTGGCAGGAGGCCCAGGTGGCTGATGAGAGCTGCCCTTTGGGGGGTGGGTGGGGACCACACTCCTGGCTCTGAGCTTGGGGCACGAATGCCTGCAGCATGTTTAACACCCGCTCTGTCTACAGCTCTTTGGGGACGTCTGCTATACCTGCAGCCACGTGATCGAGGGCGATGGTAAGGCCCCTGTCCCTGTGCCCCCTTCCCGCCCCAGGCCCCGTTCCCCCGCGCTCTCTGGGCTGTGGGTCCTGCGGCTGCGTGCCCAGCTGGCCCTCCGTGTGCACAGCTGGGCCTCTGGCTGGCCTGGGGGGGCCGCTAAGCCCCCATCTGACCCTCACAGTGGTGTCGGCCCTCAACAAGGCCTGGTGTGTGCACTGCTTCTCCTGTTCTACCTGCAACAGCCGGCTCACCCTGAAGTAAGTCGTGCTGGCTCCCAGGGGTCGGGGGCCGAGGAGGGCAGAGACCTGCAGGGTGTCCCCCTCCCTCCCCCTGGAGCCCATCAGGGGCTCACGTTGGAGTCGGCTTGCCATGGGCTCTTCCCTTCGTCGGACCCTCCCTGAATGCTCACTGTTATCAGGCCCTGGGGGTGCAGTGGGAGCAGGGGCAGCCCCAGCCCCGAGAAGGCAGGTCCAGGGACCCCCCAGGGCACGGTGGGAGGAAGAGTCACACTAGCCTCGGCGCTCGGAAGGGCGCCGGCCTCTGGGGAGGGGAGGACACTCCGGCTCAGGGAGCAGGAAACACGCTCAGAGCCAAAGGAGCTAGACCTCACCTAGGAGGCTGAGAGGGGGAAGGACAGCTGGAGCAGTGAGGTGAGGTGAGGTGCGGCCCGGCGTCTGAGGACAAGAGGGAAGGTTCTGGAGTTCCAGCATTCCAGAGAAATCTCTAGGCAGAAAGGGAGGCCTGGAGGCCCGTCTCCTCGTCTCCCATGGCGTCCGGCCAGAAGGTGCCCCCCGGACCTGGCCGGCTGGCGCGGGGACAGGCTGGGGTAGGGGAGGTGGTGGGCTCTGGGCCAGGGGTCCGAGGAGACCCTGGCTCTCCTGGCCGCTGCCCCTCCTCTGCAGGAACAAGTTTGTGGAGTTCGACATGAAGCCTGTGTGTAAGAGGTGCTATGAGAAGTTCCCGCTGGAGCTGAAGAAGCGGCTGAAGAAGCTCTCGGAGCTGGCAGCCCGCAGGGCGCAGCCCAAGTCCGCGGGCCTCCAACCCGCCTGAGAGGCCCGCCCGCCGCCTGCCTCCCGCCATCGTCCTCCTGCTCCCCCCGGCTTCGCTGCCCGCCCCCGCTGCCCGAACCTGTGGCTTCTCCCTGCCCGTCTCTCCGCTCAGCATCCCCCCCCAAGGCGTCCCGTCCCTCCCCTCCCTCCTTCCACGAGGCCAGAGGCCACGGGGCAGGGGCCTGGGCGTGGCAAGCCTGTGACACATCCTCGTCCACAGCTTCAGCCCGAGGTCTTCCAGGGACAGAAGCAAGTAGGGCCAGGGTCACCTGGGCCGGCCTGTCCTGACCTGTCCCATCCCCGCAGGAGGCCTCGTGGCTCGCATTCTGTGGCAGCTTGGCCAGCCTCCGCCCCCCCGTGGCACAGGTGTAGCCCACGGCCAGGCGGCCGCCCGGACCCCAGGGCCATGTGGGTGGGCGCCCCCGGGGAACCACCCTGCAGTCCCCCGACTACGCACGCGCTCAGCCAAGCAGGAGCCTCGTGCCCAGGCCAGGCCGGCGAGTCCCGCTTCTTCAGCCCACGCAGCAGTGGGAGGGCCCCCGCTCGCCCCACCGCCAAGGCACCCGCTGACTCCCCGGTGCAGCCTGGGGCTAGGAGGTGGTGGGCTCTGGTGGGCGGCTCATTCCTGCCCTCCGGGGAGGACAGCATGGGACCTTGGTGTTGGGACTCACACTTGCACAACGAATGAAGGCTTTTCTACACGACCCCAGCGCTTGCGTGGTTTGTGACATTGCGGTGGATATGCTGCCGCAGGGTTAGGGAGACAGACGCCAGACCGGACAGGCATCCCAGGGCCAGGCTGCCGACAGAGACCCTCAGTCCTTGAAGGCTGGCCCGGTGGGTGGAGTCGGGGGACAGGCTCCGACAGGGCTGGCGGGGGCCGTGGGCGCCCAGCCTAGGCTCCGAGGCCCCGCATGCAGCTCCGCCCTCGGGGCAGCGAAGCCAGCAGCCACCTCCAGCAGACCCTCCTGGCGGCAGCCCGTGTCCGGTGCCGGGCAGGGGAAGGAGGAAAGGTGTGCAGAGGGGCCTGTAGAAAGCATCTCTGCAGTCTGAGGCGGAGGAAGGGAAGGGGTGGGGGTGGAAGGAAAGGGAGGAGGGAGACACGAAGGAAGTCACACCATGAGGACGGAGGTGTCCTCTGCTGGGCCTGGACGGGCCGCAGTGCTTTTTGCTTTCTTTGGAAGGAACCCTTTGCTGGACCTGCTGCCCACCCGAGCCCCAACCCGACCCTCGTCTCTCGCTGACACACTCCCCACTGTTCTGCGGAACTTTTATTGAACATTCCTGGGGGGAGTCCTCCCCGCCATCCGTCCGTCGGCCTGGAGGCCTGCCAGTCCCGGCCCTGCCCTTCGGCCCTCAGAGTCAGCACCCGGGTGGGGGGGGGGGTCCCTGGGGTGCCATAGGGTGGTGGTACTGGGGGTTCTGGGGAGAGGGTGACTTGAAAGGCTGCCACCAGAGGGCAGGCCTTGGGCCCAGAGAAGTGTCCTCGGGAAGTGCCACCAGGAGCCCCCGATTGCGGAGGGTGGCTGAATGGGCAAGAGGCCCCTGCTGCTAGGGACTGGCCGGGACTGAGGTCCGGGGGTCCCGCTGCTTGTTCACGGTGCTCAGCAGCTGCTGCACGTACGAGGTCAGCAGGTCGTCCATCTTGTAACCCTGGACGGGGGGGGGAAGGGTGGGGTCGGAGTCTGAGGGGTACAGCTAAGCGGGGCTTGGGCCAGAGCTTGCGGGGCCCAACCTCTGCCTCAGTGACACACCGGGCAGGGCGTGAAGAGAGAAACAGGGCTCCTGCGGCTGGGCCCCGAGTCCCCTTCCCTCCCTGGGACCACAGGCCCCCCTGCCAGGCCTTGTTGCCCCCCTGGGTGACACGCCCAGCCCTTCCTGAGCTGCACCTCCTTCCTCTGCCGGCCCAGCCTGGCCTGCCCACCCCAGGCATGGGGGCCACGTCCTCCCAGGGAGCAACTCGCCTGGTGGCCAGGGGGTTGGGTCAGGGTCGGGGAAACCCAATGTCCGGAGCCTCTGGGTCCCTCGTGTCTGGGCTGGGAGAAGGCCCCCGGGCCTCGGGCTCACCAGAGAGGTCTCACACAGCAGGCGGCTGCCCCGGCCCAGGCTCCCCAGCACCATGTGGAAGTAAGTACTGCCGCTGCTCCAGCTGGCAATCTTGGTGAAGGGGTAGGTGGTGAGCAGGTCCTGGGGGCACAATGGGCGGTGGGTAGAAGCCAATCAAAGCCCAGACGGTCCAGGGGCCCTGAGTCTGAGCTGCTGCCCGGGGTCCTCCAGAGCCCATGGGGCCATGTGTGGGAGCCCAGGAGGGCAGCCCCAGCTGCGCAGGGGCCCAAGGACCCTGGCGCAGTCCCCGGGGTCCTGCCACTACCTTGGTCTTGGGGTGGATGAGCAGAACCCCGTGCCGGTTGATGGCGATGAGGATGATGTCCGGGTAGGAGGGCTCCGAGGTTTGCTGGGGAGGGAGGGGGGTCACAGTGATCACAGCCCAGCCTGGGAGGCCAGGCGGCCCCTCCCCGAGACGTACGCACGCACACACGTGCACACTTGCTCCCCCAGACCTGGCCGCTGGCCCTGCCCGTGGAGCGTTTTGGGGAGAAGCTCAGGCTGCTGGGGCCAGAGCCGGGTGGGGCCTGCGTAGGCAGGATGGCCGGGCTTGGGGCGCGGCCTACCTTCACCTCGAAGAAGGCAGACCCGAAGGTGGGCCACCGGCAGATCCACTTCAGGAAGGCCACCTTGGCCTCCTCCACTGTCATGTCCCTGCTCTTGTCACAGGCCAGGAGGATGCGCTGGGGGAAGCAAGGGCCAGTGAGGGCCTGAGTGGAGGCCACTGCCCGACCGGGCTGCCACACAAGGCCCCGAGGTCCTGGCCCAGAGCGGCAGCTGCTGCCTGAGGCCGTGGACAGCGCGGGGAAGGTGCTACAGCGGACCCAGGCCACCCCCCACGGTGGCACCTGGGCGGGGTCCCTGTGGGGGCAGCAGCCGAGGGGCCCCTTCCCAGCCCCTGCCAAAGACCTTCTTCCATTCCTCTGAGGACATCAGACGTGTGAGGTTCTCAGGCACGAGTTCCCTCAGGACCTTGGGCATGCTAGCTAGCTGGGACCGGTCATTGCCAAACTGGGCCTTGTAGATGAGGGCTGCCAGGTGGACGGCATCCTCCTGTGAGCACTTGTGGAACCCACGCAGGTACTTGGGCAGCTCCTGGGTGAAGGACAAGCTGGACTTCAGGCTGCAGCCACGCCCGGCTTCATGCTCATGTGGTAGCCCGCCCCCATCCAGGAAACCGAGCCCGCAAAAAGCTAAGGTCATCAGGGTAAGGTGTCCAGCAGAGGGAAGGCCACTGAATGGAGGCAGGGCTCCCTGCCGTCTCGCCGTGGAGGGCAAGGGCCAGTGCTCCACGGGCTGCAGGACCCTCTGCGCGCCTCCCCGCCCCGGCAGGCAGGCATGCTGCAGGTGACGGTGCGGCCGCTGTCTCCAGACGCCGCTGTCCTTCTGCTCCTGGCTCCAGAACCCTCAGGGGCGCGGCGGGCCCACCGAGAGGCCCTGGGCAGGAGCTGGGTGCCCAGGGGCGAGGCGGCCGTGCTCCACTCTCAGGGCAGGTGTGGGCTGGAGCGAGGGTGGCCCCAACGCCCACCAGGAGGGGCGGCCCGGGTACCTGATGGTAATGGAGTATGGTGTCTGCCTTCACATCTCTCCCTGGGGCCACGCTGAGCCACAGTTTCCGCATGAAGTACACCTGGTAGGAGAGCGTCACAGCGGCCCCTGGATAGAGGCGGCAGTGAGCACCAAGCCTGTCCCTGGCCCAGCAGGCCCGGGGCGCTGCCCGCCCACCCCCGCACCCTGCCCCTTGGCCCCTCGCATCGCCGCTGTGTTTGTTACTGCGGCCTCCCCAGCTGGACAGCCTCCATGCCTCTTCCTCCCTGGGCCTCAGCTCTTCCTCATCCCTCAAGATAAGTGTGGCAGCCCCCTCTTCCAGCAGCACTCGCAGATCTCCCCGTGGGGTCAGGCCCCGTTCCGCCCTCTCTGCCCCCATGCACCCTCCATCACCCCGCAGTCCCGCCACGTGTTCTAGGCCCGCCGCATGCCCGGCCCCTGCCGGAGTTGGGAGAGCTCCAGGGGCAGGGCCTGACCGCCTGGCCCCAGGCCTGGCCTACCCATGACCCAGGGAACATGAAGGGGAATGAGAATAAATGAATAAATGAATGGGCATAGCCATGCAGGAGTGGCCCGGGGAGCCCCCTGACCCTGGCCCAGGAGGCAGACAAGCCCTCCCCCGCCTCACATCCCTGCAACGCCCCTGCAACGCCCCTTCCCCGCCCCACCTCTCCTTCCCGGCCTCCCGGCCCCTCCCCTTCCCGGCCCCGCCCCTCCTTCCCGGCCCCGCCCCTCCTTCCCCTCCCCTCCCCTCCTTCCCCGCCCCTCCCTTCCTTCCCCGCTCCACTCCTCCTTCCCGTCCCCACCCCTCCTTGCCGGCCCCTCTCCTCCTTCCCCGCCCTTCCCCTCCTTGCCTGCCCCACACCTCCTTCCCCGCCCCTCCCTTCCTCCGCCCCACTCCTTCCCGGCCCCTCCCCTCCTTCCCCGCCCCACCCCTCCTTCCCGGCCCCTCCCCTCCTTCCTGGCCCCAGCCTGCCCCACAGAGCCCTCCCCTCACCTTCCTTCTGGGGCTTGTTCTTCTTCACCCAGTCGGCCACCTGCCTCAAGGAGTCAAAGAAGAAGTCTCCCTCCTTCTGGCTGATGACCTGGGGCGGGTGGAGAGGAGGGCACAGGGAGGCATGCAGGTGTGCGGCATCCAGGGATCCATCTCTGGCCTGGGAGGCTAGGTGCCGCACTGGGGCTCTGACCCCTCCTGCCTACGTCCCTTCACCCTGTGTGCCGCGGGGGGCCTGGCCCAGCGCACGTGGGAGACCTCCGCCCGCCCGCCCTCCCTCCCTGCCTCCTGGCCCCTGGCCTGCTGGGCCGCGCACCTTGTCCGCGATCTTGATGAAGAGGCTGCAGCCCTCCCAGGAGGCGAGCTGTAGCCGGGCGGCGATGCTGTCGCACACCTCCCGCACCCGGGTGTTGGTGCCCACCTCCACCATCTGGGCAGAGAGGGGGCAGGGGAACGTCTCAGGACGCGGCTCGGCCCGGGGTGACCCTCAACAGCCTGCTGACTGGGGCTGGGGTCGCGCCTGCCCTGTCCTGAGAAGGGCAAGACTCCCCCTCTGGAAACCTGGCCGGATGTATGCGCTGTTTGGTCACAGGGCTTGCTGTCTTGGGGTCCCAAGAGTCCCAGCCTTTTGAACTTGCTCTTGAGAGCCTGCCGCCAGACTGTGGGAACTTTGTCAAGGCCACAGTCCGCTTGGGGAGGGCTGTGAGGGCCCCTCGCTGCACTGCTGCCCCTTGGCCGAAGGTCTCCCGACTCCCACCTGTCCCCTCCGCCGTCCCCAGAGGCCGACTGGGCTCTGTCCGCAGGCACCCCATGGCGGCCCTTGCTCACCATGTCCTGGGGCCGGGTTGGAAGCCTGAGGGGCCCCCAGCCCTGTGGCCTCTTCTCCCTTGTGCCCAGCCTAGAATGCCCCCCACACCTTTGGGACGTCCAGACTCCCGACTGCACTCCAGCCTCCCCGGGGCCCATCCCTCCCCTGTGTGGCCCGGAGCACCTGAGGGCGCCCAGCACTCAGTTCATGCTCATGGGGACTGGGGTGGGGCGAAGCGGTAGTTTCGG